ATTTCATGTTCAAGCTGATATTTGTTTGCAAAATTAGACTGAACAAACAATGTAACTAAATAATCCCAAATCTGTTTGGCTGTGTAAAACTTAGCCAAATGCACACTAATGGCCTGATCAACTGAATTGTTGATCCAAGTGATAATTTTAGCATTGTTGACTTCCCATGTATTCTTTAATTCAGCATATTTCTCTTCCTTTGAATCTGTTGGAGCTTGCAAAGTACCACTAACATAACTCCACATCTCTTTCCCCAGCAGAAAATTCTTCATAACATACAACTAGTATACATAATTTTCACCATTTAATCTAACACTAATAGCTTGAAGATAATCAGAATGTTCATTTGCCATAATGTTAACCAGAGGTCTCACCAAAATAATTCCAAAAAAAAAAACAACAATAAATCCAGCAACACGTGATTCTCTTTCTCCCACCAATCCAAACAAATCAAATAACAAATAGCAAATACCAGACCCAACCCAACAAATAGTAATTCAACCCAGCAACACCAAACGACTACAAGAATATATCAAACAGCCCAGCAACCAAATAACAATAAAGCAGAGGGAGGCAATCGGTACACTGTGATGGCAGAAACGAAACAATCGGTGTTCTCTGATGGCAAACGACTTACCAGATGAACTCGAAACAAGAAAGAGAGCACACCACTATGAAGCCCATGAATAATCGATCAAAATGGTGGAATTCATCGTCGGAAACTGATGACGTCATCGCCGACGATGATGATGTCAACCATCGGTTTCACCAGGTCTTCACGCTATTGGCATCGGGTTCACCCGGTCTTCACGTTCTCTTCTTCTTCTAGACTTTAATCCTAAGTTTATTATTTGAGTTTAGGGATTATGGCTCTGATACCATGTTGATGTTTATCAATGAAAGAGAAAAATTATATTAATCAAGTGTAAACCAGTATTACAACGAATTTATACTAGGGCAAAACATAGTAATATAAAAAACTAATCTACCCCTAATACTAATATACTAGTAATATCTCTAACATGTTGAACAGGTAATATGAATAAAAAAATTATATCCTTGGTCTATCTAACTATCTTTATAATTTTTCTTCTCCTCTCTAACCTGAAGTTTCATTTCCATGGCATCTAGAATTTGGCATTGCTGCTGGCCAGATTCTAGATGCTGCTGAAACATCATATGTAGTCACATAGCAGATTGGATCTCCCAAGGAAAAATGCCAAAAAAAAAACAAAAAATTGAATCAAACACTTGAAAACGAGTTGTGAAAAACTTTTAAATTCTATTTTTATGCTTAAAAAATGCGTAATAACTACGTTATCTACCATTTACTATCTTTATTAATATTAATCATAACGTATGAATATATTCTCCACCTTTTCCTTTTCCTAACCCCCCACCCAAGAGAAACAAGAGAGATAAACCTTTCCCTATGCCCGCTAAATGACAACGCTATCTAACATGGCTATTATTTTTATTAGATCATCTAAATTTAAAGTACCAACTGAAATCAATTTGGTAAAGAAAAGTGGGTCAGAAAAGATCAACTGACTCAACACTACATGCTTCGAAAAGATTGTCACTTTGTTTCAAGAAGAATTTTGCTACCCTCGCATCCATCAGCTAGCTACTCAAAAGTTCTTGGAAACCTTTTGTTTGTTTTGTTGCATGTAAAATATAGAAAGACGAAAAAGATTTAAATCATACCATTTTATTAGTTTTTCATTTATATAATCCTCTCTTTGATTCCTATTCTATTTGGTTATGTGAAAATTTGTTAGAAAAAGAAAAAAAATAGATTCTTAAGTGTACATATATACATATAAATGAATAGTAGTAAGCGTGGTATAGTTTCCTATGACATTTTTCGGCAAACTATTCTATTCAAACAGACAAGTCTCATTTTCTTTTGGGATTCTCCTTTGATGTTAATGCTTGTGCTATTATTCTTCATTTTTTTTTATCAATTGCTTAATTTGTTCATTCGACATGGTTGATGCTTTATAGTTGCAATGTGGAATTGGATGATATAGCTGGCCATAGACTATGGCTCTCATGGAAATGCTATTATGAGAGGGTGGCAGTCTAACAACTGAAAGTAGTGGTGCACAAGAAGTTTAAAATTAAAAATGCGTTCGTACTTCGTATTGAATTGTAACTACATATATTATCACGGCTAAGTACACCATTTTTTAGCATATAAATCTGCACATTTGTTTGTCTCCTTCATCTTTTGCTTGATATGCACTTCTCGAATCTCTCAGGTAGCCATTAGGGGTGACTTAATATACTTTGAAGTTTAAAGCGGCGACTCTAAATGATGTTTTTTTTTAATATTAATTTTAAAAAATTCTTGTTTTTTAAAATGGTGATTATTAGTCAAATTTTATATACGTATCTTTTCAATTGATCACATGACTAATCCACCCAATCTTTCCAATTTTATGAGATCTATTTGTGTTTATTTACCTAAATTTAACATAATTTTTTTTTTATGTTTTTCTTGTTACCAGTGACAAATATATTTAAATTAAAAAATATTTGTTTGAAATTCAAATAGTTTTTAAAAATTTCCCTCCAAAATTTTTCCCATACAAATGTTTATTTTCTAATTGCTATATTTATAAATCAACCAAACACTTTTATAATAAGAAAATATTACTATCTTGGAATTTTGTGTGTAATTGGATTGGATTTTTTAGCCTAAATTATTTAACTAAGATTTTTTTGTTGATTGAAATTTTTTGTTAAAAAATATATTATAAACCGATAAATTTGGGACATCTTTTTTAGTTATGTTTTAGTAGAGAAAATATTGGATGTAACGGTAACACCACATCATCACGATTATGTGATGTCACCATCCAATAAAAGTATGACAAATAAATAAGTGGGTCTCACATATTATATTATCCACATTTCTATATCATTTAATAATCACCAAAATAATTACCAAATGGGTGAGCTTGATCCATGGATATATAGCACTTGAATACAAGGGAGACGAACAAGTCTCCATTACATGGGCTTCTATCCTTATTCTATGAACTGAATGGACTTAATTGATAAAGATCTGAACAATGGCGGCACAACACAAATTAGGGTGTAAAAAGAGAATTTTACATTAGAACTTATTTAATGTTTTAGAAAGATAATAAAATTTTTTTAATAATTATTAGACATTTTACAAAGAGGTATGATTTATTTTCAATGTTTTAGTGGTTTTGGGATATATGCAATTGTAAAGTTAGGATCTTACAGATGAATAAATTAAATAAATAACATGAGTTAAAAGATAAAGACAAAGAATCAGAGTAAGACAATGAGAGTGGGAGGGAGAGAAAAAGTTGGACATAGGCAATGATAATGGAGAAAAAAAATAGTGTAAAGAATTTGAGAGAAATTGTTATTTTTAAAGTCAAAAATTGTTACTTTTAGATTTTTTAGAATGATTTATTATATTTTAGGACTTTCTATAAGGTTTATATGAACTTGTGCAAATATTGTTATATTTTAAGGTTTTCTGTAAGACTTTAGTTATACTTATAAAATATATTGAACATTTAACTTGGTTCATTCAAAAGAGCTTCAAAATATGAAACTAAACTAAGAGCTGAAAATTAAATTAGAGCCCTAAATTTTTAGGGCTCTATGTAACTATTTTAATGATTAGACCCTAGGGTTGGCCCTGTTGTGCCTCCTTCTATTCAAAGGATTAAAATGTCTGTATATTTCACAATAATTATAATCTCTTCATGTTCCTCACTATCAAGTTTTCATCCATGGAAACAATTAAGTAAGACAAATTGATTATTGAATGATACACAAAGATTAAAGGTAATATATGTGTTACTTTAAATTTTATGCATTTTTTTTTAATTTATCAAAAATAATGTTTGGACTGTTACAAGGTACTGTCATAATAAATATGTTCAATGTTACAATGTGATGTCACATAATTTAGGCATCTAATACATATTAAACATTACATATGTATTATTTCATACTAATATTATCTGCGTGCAACTATTTAATAGTATAATCCATAAGAATTATAAATACACATAGATCATCATGATTAAGTTCATATTTTTTAACAAACAGATTCGTACACAATACATTTATTTATCTCTCTCATCTCTTGCTTGATCGCTCTTTTTGGAATACAACAATCTATTATTTCATTACTATTTTTATATTATTCTTATTTGTTTTGTATGTTCTTAATAAAAAATTATGGTATTACGTGATTGACTATCAATATACAATCATAATTCCCTTGTTATATTGTTATTGAATTATTTTATGATTTTTAATTTTTTTTATGATATTTAACTTATTTATGTATACAACATTTACATATTATTTTATATTGTGTTTTATTTTCTCTGATAATAAATTTATTAAAAGTTTTTTTTATATTAATTAATTTTTTATTGTGGATTTTTTTATGAGAATGCACAATTTAATTAATTGGTGTTTTTATGTTTAAATGAGAACAAAATCGAGTTTAAAAGAAATAAAAAATATATTTAATTGTTTTTATTTGTGAAAGCGAGAGAGATGCTTATTATATTTTTTTATAGAAGCGTTAACCCTTATTTTGTCATTTAATAAATGTGTACGTGTGAGGTAGACTGCACTTTTAGACTTTTTAAAATTTATTTTGTAAACTTAATCTTTAAATAGATTTTTTTGCAAGTTAAATTATAATGAATTTTAAAATTTGAAGGTTTTTTTTATATGTGGGGCCTAAACCCACGTTTTTTGGCTCGCTTGTTGAGCCGGTGATGATATTGGAGCCGCCAAACTCCGAGTCTTATTGTTCGTTACTACGAATCCTCGGTCAAAAATCTCCCCTACGATTCTGAGAGAGAAGGAGCTAAACCGTTGAAGTCACATGAAAGGATCACAGATTCAGATTCTCTCAACCATTTTCATGTATTTATAGCGAACTCCCACACCCACTCTCATATATCCGAGAGAGAGAGAGAGAGAGCATGAAGGTTTCAGGAAACTTACTATTGTTTACCTTCTTCAACCTGTTTCTTTTGGCTACATTGGTCAATGGGTCCAATGATGATGAAAGAAAGGTTTTTCATTCTCTCCAAATCTCGTAATGGCGGAAGTGAATAGTTTTTTTTTTCCCAGTTATTCATATATTGGTTTAGAGTCTGGAGATTGTCTTTATGTATTTTTTTGTTGATGAATTAACAATATATATTTTTTTAATATTGGTGTGATCGCAGCCATACATTGTGTACATGGGAGAATTGCCTGAGGATACTACATCACTGGTGGATGAACATGACAGCCTCCTATCAGAGGCCATTGGAGAGTAATCACTATATATATGTCTAACTATTTTTCTTTTGGTACCTCCACCCTCTATGCACAAGTACAAATCCAGGGGTGGAGCTAAAATTTTTGTCGGTCGTGGACAAAACTAGATAGGGGGCATAAACTTAGTAATTTTCAATAAATAACACAGAAAACTTATAGGGTTAGAAGATTATTATAGAAAACTTAGGGGGTCAAGAGTGGTCATCATGGCCATATGTCGGATCCACCACTGCTTGCAAACTAAGCGTAAAAATTATTAAGATCTAATTTAAAGATACAACAGGCTTAGTATTAAACGAAATCTATTATCAATCTAAAAAATATAATACATTACGTTTTTAAATTGGATACAAGTAACGTTTTTCTCCCTCGATGATTTAATTTCAGTGTGAGCAAAGCTAAAGAACACAAGATACATAGCTATGGAAGAAGCTTTAATGGGTTCGTTGCAAGACTGCTGCCTCATGAAGCTAACAGACTATCACGTATGCACTTCTGTATATTCACATTCTCCCTTCTTGTGAGTTTCCATATTTTCTTCAACTGTAATGACTGGGTCAGTGAGTCTCGTTAAATTTTATTGAAAGGATCCACTAATCCAATCATATCTATTGAATAGTCGTTTCGTATAGGTGAATTTGTTTTGTTCAATCTTTAACAAGAAGAAGGATCCACTGAAAATGGTAGGACTCCCTAAATGGTAACATGCTATAGCCTTTTAGGAGAATCAGCCCGCCTAGTTGACAATAATATGCTTGTTAATTTGATGAGTTGATTACTGTCAACAGTGTTGGGCCTATATATTACCAAACGAAAAGAGTCCCAACTATTACCAGACTAGCGATTAACGCAAGGTCGACCATTTGAGACGTTAAATTGGAGAAATATTTTGAGAAGTATAACAATATTGTGTCTTTAATCTTGCTTTATGCACTGATATTGCAGAGAAAGAAAGTGTTGTGTCTGTGTTCCCAAACACTATCCTAAAACTACATACCACGAGATCATGGGATTTTCTCGGAATGCCTGAGACAGTGAAAAGGAACCGTGCAGTTGAAAGCAATCTCATCGTCGGTCTCTTAGACACAGGTCATACAATTGAACCCGTAACAATATGAGAGCTTAGGTTTAAATGTGATACTAATACTGTTCTTTCTTGATTTACCTTAAAAGGAATTTGGCCGGAATCAGCCAGTTTTAATGATCAAGGCTATGGCCCTGCACCTCACAAATGGAGGGGCAAATGTGCAAAGGGTGCTAACTTCACTGGTTGCAACAAGTAAGATATACTTTCTCATAAACTTATATTGTACCATACATCATAGCCATACCCGACCATGCATTAACATTGGAACGTTTTTTGGATATGAGCAGCAAGGTTATTGGTGCAGCATACTACAATCTGGACCCTGGCCCGTGGGAGTGGGAGCCAACTCCGGTGGACACAGACGGCCATGGCACCCACACCTCTTCCACCGCTGCCGGCAGAGCCGTCAAGGGCGCAAGTTTGTGCGGCTTCGCGGAAGGGACGGCCCGAGGGGGAGTGCCGTCGGCTCGGGTGGCCATGTATAAAGTATGCTGGGCTATAGGTTGCTCTACCATGGACTTGTTAGCTGGATTTGATGCTGCCATTGCTGACGGAGTTGATGTTATATCAGTGTCCATTGGAGGACCCTCCTTTAACTACTTCGAAGATGTGATTGCCATTGGAGCTTTCCATTCTATGAAGATGGGAATTTTGACTTCTTGCGCAGCTGGGAATCAAGGTCCTGCTTCATATACTGTGGAAAATACTGCACCTTGGATCTTCACAGTGGGTGCTAGTAGCATAGATAGGCAGTTCCACACGGCTATCAAGTTCGGGAATGGCATGAAAACAACTGTAAGCTCTCTCTCTCTCTCTCTCTCTCTCTCTAATTCATTGATTGCGAAGTCGTTATATGATGTGACATTTTGTTGGTGGGCAGGGGATGTCCCTTAACACATTTTCACCCAAAAAACAAATGTACCCTCTAACTAGTGGAGCCCAAGCAGCCAATGCCACCGCAAGAATATATGGGAATGCCAGGTACAAATTTTACATTCTGTTTACTTTGATGCCAAGGTTACCTCGTGAGCAATGCTAATAAAAACCTAATTTAAGGAACTAATCGGAAGTTGTAATTTATTACCGTCATTAGATCAATTGTTAGTTTCAAGTTCATATGTCGAAGAATTAGGTACAAATAACATTTTCCTTATCTTATACCTGAAATGGTTACAGTACATGCGATTGGGGGACTATGCTTGAGAAGAAAGTGAAGGGGAAGATTGTGTATTGCATTGAAGGAAACGGTGCCGATTACATGATCAATGACATGCATGGAGTTGGAACGATCATGTCCACTGATCTGTATCCAGACGTTCCCTTCAGCTTCCTTATACCAGCAGCTTTAGTTAGTGTCAAGGAAGGTGAAGAAATCGATAAGTACATCAACTCAACCAAGTACGTTTCATTTCTTACATATGCTTTTAATACGAATTGTTCCTAGTTGATATAGAGCGCATGTTTCATCTGTATAAAGCGTTGAACTACCATGGATTTCAAATTTTCGTCCTAGACATATCGATCTAATTTAAAATGGATAATATTTGCTTCCAAGTGCCAAAGATCATCGGAAAAAAAATATATTTTTCTCTCTGAATGAAAAGAGTTTATATTCTGTTACGTTTAGAAATAAAAACAAAAAATGGTATAAAATCATAGTAACACAAAATTCTCATGTGCTATGCGTTATTTTTTTTATTTTTTTTCTATTTAATTACTTATAGGTACTATTTGTGTCAGAATTCGAATATTTCTATTAACATCTATTTTTTGAAACGAAAATTTTACAGAACAGCCAAGGCTGTCATATACAGATCAAAAACTGTGAAAATGGCTGCACCATTCGTAGTTTCGTTTTCGTCTAGAGGACCCCAGACAATCAGTCTCAACATCCTCAAGGTACATGACCCGACTATCCTTTGCATCGATTACCAACTCACTGCCGTTTTTTAAATTTATTCATTCCATCTCTACCATTGATTTGTAACTCACCTTTCAATTTATCCTTATTTTTATAAAAACCGTACTCAAACCCATATAAAAGAACATACATTTATGTTGAAAAGACGTGGGTTCAACCTATAAGATTGCTAAAAACAATGATCAATTATAGGTAATTTACAAAGCAAGAAAGATAGCTTGAAAACAGACAGTAAGGTGAGATCAATCTCTCTCTCTCTCTCTCTCTCTCATATGGAGTTGTTTCCATGGACAGCCCGACATTGTTGCACCAGGACTGAGCATATTGGCTGCATTTTCGCAAATGACAACAGTGACAGGGTATGACGATGACAAACGGATAGTCAAATATAACATACAATCGGGAACGTCGATGTCTTGCCCTCATGCTGCAGCTGCTGCGGCCTATATCAAGACCTTCCGTCCCAAATGGTCACCGGCTGCAATCAAGTCTGCTCTCATGACCACTGGTGAGTTTAATTCAACATTTCTTAGTTTAGACAACTTTTGCTTGGTAAATGCAAATTAAGTAACAAGTAATTAACACAACTAAAGTCCGTTGGATACCTTTTTGATAAGAACATGGGATCTATTTTGAGGCCGTTGTTGTTGTGTTTGTTCTTACATGTAAGTATTGACTTCAAGAGTCGTGTCATATTACTTTCACAGCGTATTCTTTTCGCTTTGTGTCAAATACTAATCAGCTCTAATCTCACAAGTTATATTCAACATGTTAGATGTCCTAACCTCAAATCTATGTCATACTCAGATTGACATTTATATACAACCCATGAACTTGTAATAAAACTTATTTCTTTCTCTCTCACTCATAGCCCTTCACAAACTAAAAATACACTTTTTCTTTATGCTAACAAGGAACTTATCGTATCAAAATAAAATTATTTGTGTTTTGACACTATGTATAATAGTGATCCCTCTCAAGGTAAAGGAATTGCAACATATTACATTATAGTCTATAGCACCATGCCTACTAGAGCCTGAGATAAAGTTTTCTCCGGTTTAAGACAGCCAATATATACTTTCAGACTCAATTTTGACTTGATTTACACACTGCTCTCTCTCCATCCGATCAATTTTTGATCTTCTTGTTTCAGCAACACCTATGAAGATAAAGACGGTAGACGTGGAATTGGCCTACGGCTCAGGCCAAATAAACCCCACAAGAGCACTGCACCCTGGCCTTGTATATGACATCAACATGGACTCCTACATCAGTTTCCTATGCAAGGAAGGCTACAACAGCACACTGATTGGTTTAGTAACAGGCAGCAAGAAGAAGTACAACTGCTCCACCCTCCCGCACGCTATGGGAACCGATGGCCTCAACTATCCTTCCATGCATCTCCAGCTCACAAAACCTGAGTCCACCAGCTTTTCAGCAGTTTTCTACCGAACTGTAACCAATGTTGAATCCAGGAGGTCGGTGTACAAGGCCAAAGTGAAGTCACCTGAGGGTCTCTCTGTCACCGTCATTCCAATGACAATGGCGTTTGAAAAGCCCTACCAACAAAGGTCTTTCAAAGTAGTGGTGAAGGGAAAGTTTATCAAGAATGCCAAGAGACTATCAGCATCACTGGAATGGAGTGACTCTAAGCACAGAGTCAGGAGCCCTATCCTCATCTATAGAACCCCTCATTCAAGATGATTAGTAACTTCCACATGTGGTGAATTGCTAGTATTTTCCATCTCATTTCCTTTTCTTGCAAGCACATGATCAATTATGGTCTGAAAATATTCAAGGTAATGATTTGCAAATAAATAGTTAACACACCTGTGGCTGCTCTATCATTCCACTCCATTGTTGGCTTTCTTTGTCCCAGAACCATCTTAGGGCGTTATTTAGACTTCTAACTCATGGTCATAGGTTGATGTACCGTTTTGTAATCTAAGCTTTTTAAAAAAAAAAAAAAATTCAAACAAAAATATATTAGATTACCATAAAACAATCTATATGCATCTTAATATACAAAAATTATACTTATATGTGCATGTGTTTTTTTATATCTACGAAGGAAATAAGCAAATCCAGACAAAAAAAACCCAATATATGCATATGTCTTGAAACTCCATGTACAGTACTAAAAAAATGCCTTGAAAGAGTTCTTAAAAATCGCATTTGTTTTGTAGTAGAAAATTGTATGTGATTTGAACCAAGTAGACCAATGCCAACCTTTCGACTCCATTAATCACTGTTTAACGTAACACATGCACTAATGAGGAAAATATGCATGACCTCAATGCCCTTACCATGATATGGCTGAGCAGGTTTGCAGTCAATCTCCATGTAGAACAGTTAAATCTCTCTTATAGAAGGGCTTCATTCACGTTTGGTGAAAGGTCTTTTATGGGGAAAAAAACACCAACTCTCCAAGTAAATGAACTACGTGCGGATTTATGTTTCTTCTTTCCCTGTAGTTTTCTTCATCTTCTTCTTTTTCCTCTCTCAGAGGATGACGGTGGTGAAAAAGAAACAACATAACATAAACGACTACCACCACAACAAAAAAAAAAATAAAGGAAAATCAAGATATGCACACACAAACATAGGTACTTAATCAACAATAAAGTGAAAAGCCCGAGAAACAAATATGCAGGTCATATGCATGTAAAGCAATATGACCCACCATTCTGTAACCATCGATTAACCAGATTCTGAACTACATTTCATTATACCCCTACAAGAGACTTCAATGCCTCAACAAATTTGGCACTAGACAACCATCGCTTGCTTCTCTAAAATGGCAAAACTTACGTTGACTTATGACAGCACTAAGATTACTTCAGCGGTAAGGTTACATTCTTAAAAGCCAGATATACTCTTTTGGACTCTTTGAGGGTATAATTTGCAAAGCTATATGATTATGATCCCATAATGTGATTATTTGATGGAAAAGATTAATCATTTATTTAGAAAAAGATGGTAAATGTGATGATTTATTAAAGATTTGTTATTATGATACTAATGGAAGAATTATGTTTATTTTGCAGAAAAATGATTAAAAAAATTGGAGAGATAAAAGTGGATGAAGAAGAGCAGCTGAGTTAGACTTATTGGAATGCGCGTCCGAACACGGGATTGCTATTGCATTCGGACAGAGTTCACAAAATGAGAAGATGAACGTGCTTTGAAGAATTGGAGCATACTGCCAAATGCGTTCGGACCAGTGTTATTTAAGGCGTTAAGCGAACCGAAGCGACCAAGGCTCTTAACGCCTAGGCGAGAAGCGAGAAGCGAAGCGAAACGATTTACCAAAGCGAAGCAAGCAGTTAAAAAAATAAATAAATATTTTAGTGTAATTACTTATACACATCAAAGTTTTAATTTTATATATACTAAATATTTAAATACAAGTAAAACCATAAACATTTAAAGTAAAACCATAAACATTTAAATTAAAATAAACACTAATAATATTGCAAATCTTAATAACAGTCATAGTTTAAACATTTAAATTCATACAAATACTAATAATATCCCAAATCCTAATATTTAAAAACATAAGACACATAATTCAAGCAACTAAAGAAAATATCTCAAGGACTTAGAAATCAATCCTCATCACTAAAGAAATCATCTTCTTCATTATCCTTAGATTCATATCCCTCAGTATCCTCCTCCTCTGCCTCATCTGAAATTATGTCTTCCTCATCTGTGAGTCCAGTCGTCGATCTTGTAAACCTTGGTGTTACCCTAGTAGATGGTATTGATCTAGTCCGTTGGCTACTTTCCGTAACTGCAGAAGCTCGAGCGACTTCGCCCCAAGTCAAAGTATCATCACCAAACACAAGCTCATTATCTTCATCTGTGTCTGCATCCATTCTCCCAATCAACCACTCATTGCTATCATCAATATCCTTCAAAGATATTGGATCAATTGTGTCACGAGAATCATATCGGCGCCTCAAAGCTCTATTATACTTAACAAACACCAAATCATTGAGACGGGATTGAGCTAGTCTATTTCTTTTTTGGTGTGTATCTGCAATAATTTATTAACAATACATTAAAATTTATAATAAGATTAAAAAAAAATGTAATTGAAGAGGTTTGAGGATGATACTTACATGCTCAAACACACTCCAATTTCGCTCACAACCGGATGCACTACAAGTAAGGTTTAAAACTTTTTTTGCAAAGGTTTGCAAATTTGGAGTTGCAGACCCATATGCACTCCACCAATCAGCTGTGAATAATGAATAACAATTAATTAACTAACATATTTAAGCAATGATAATGAAATAAGCTTGTGGGATAACATAAATTACCTGGTGCCCTAGTTGTTCTTTGTCTAACCGCCATGGGCAACTTAAAGAGGTTTTCACCTTTCATGTAAATACTCAACTCTTGACCAATTTTATCTTGTATCGCAGGATTTGAGACCAACTTTTCCAAACATTTATATAGGCCATTCATGACTTCTTGATCTTTCTCAACCTCTGGATTGGAATAGAAAAACTCTGGGTTCAAAAAATACCCAGCTGCATGCAAAGGCCGATGCAATTGAACTTCCCACCTTCGGTCAATGATTTCAAATATGTGTTTGTACTTCTCTTCATTGCCATTAAAAGAATTAGCAATCGCTTCTTTAGCCCGGTCCATAGCTTCATAAATGTACCCCATAGGAGGCTTTTTCTCACCATCAACCAATCGAAGCACACGGACAAGAGGGCCAGTAAGCTTAAGAGAGTAGACAACATTACTCCAAAATGAAGGCATTAAAATGATTTGTGCTGTCCTTTTGCCTTGTTGTTCTTTTGCCCATTTGCTTGTAGTCCATTCCTCTGAAGTGAACATTTTTCTCAAGTTACCTTTTTGTTGGTTGATCCTTGTTAGCGTAAGAAAAGCCGTAGCAAATCTAGTTTTTGCGGGCTTAATCAACTCCCTTGACTGGGTAAATCGTCTCATCATATTCAACAGAGTTGGACGGTTATAAATATAACCGTGTAATGCTATTCCTCTTTCAAATGTTCTCTTGAAGTTTGGCAATTTGAAGATATCTTCCAATACCAAGTCCAAGCAGTGGGCAGCACATGGCGTCCAATATAGATTTGGTCGTTTTGCCTCCAAAAACTTACCTATTAAATAAAGATTTTTTTACCAACTAGTGTGCATAAAAAAAATTCAATATAACAAGTAGTTATCTTTTTTTTTTTTTCAAGAAGCTCATACCTGCTAACACATTTGCTGCCGCATTATCAGTGACAATTTGAATCACATTAGCTTCACCAATACGCTCTACAAAATTATCAAGCAATTCAAACATTTTTTGCCCATCCTTTGAGTATGCAAAAGCATCAACAGATTCAAAGAACATGGTCCCTTTTGGACAATTCACTAAGAAATTAATCAAGGTTCTCCCTCTCTTGTCAGTCCATCCATCGGCCATTATGGAACATCCATATTTTGCCCAATCCTCTTGGTGATCTTTCATCAATGACTTTATATGCCCTACTTCTTTGTTGAGCAATGGGACCCGAACCTCATGGTAAGAAGGGGGTTTCAAACCAGGACCATATTGTCCAAAAGTTTCAACCATTGCTGCAAAACTTTCATAGTTCACAACATTAAAGGGAATTCCCGTGTCATACATCCATCGGGCAAATGTTGTGATGGCTCTTTCTCTCATTTCCTTTCTAAAAGGATCGCTGGCATCAATATTCGTTTGTCTCCCCTTGGTCTTTCGATTTTGCACCACAACATTCGGATCAGGGGTGAAGTATACATCCATAGGCCCTTTTTGTCTTGGTTTTTTTGGTCTCGATGTGGCTTGTGTAGAACCTTGACTAGAACTAGTCATGGATCTTTTACGATTCGCAACAATCTCTACAATATCATCTTCATCCTCCTCCAAGTCATTAGGCATCTCATCAAAGTCGGAAACTATGTTCATTAGATTCTTCTCTTCCTTTTTTTTAGCCATGTATTCTCTAATCTCCTCCCTAACATGAGCAGGGCATTTTGGACAAGTAATAACACTCGTAGAGTTCCCTGCTAGGTGTTGCTTGACCCGATAGACACCTCCATTTGACTCTTTTCCACAAAAATTGCATTTGAACTTGTTTGTGTTTTGAGGATTTACCAAGTGTGCATATTTCCATGCCGGATCTTTTTTGTTCCCTTCGGACGACGATGCCATTTATGAATAACACTATCACACTACAATCAAAGGAACAAAACACATTCACATGTACTGAATCACATTTTATATCAGTTGTAAACAATTTTATATTGACAGGAAAGGACAACAAAAGAAGCAGAATCAGGACAGCAGTAGAATGCAACAACAAAAAAAAAACAGACGACTGAGGAAAAAAAAAATTGAAGCAGCACAGGAGCAATTTCATATTGACTGGACAGAAGCAGAATCAGGACAACAACACAAAAAAAAAAAAACCAGAAGCATTACGTTGTAAACAATTTCATATTTAACATGTAAACAATTTAACTTGTACTGAATGCATTAAGTCTTGCATTTTCATTTGTTTGTATAATTCTTATGCAGTCTCCGACCATATTATTACCAATAAGATGCATGATTTGTTTGTTAAGTCACAAGAGGCCTTTAAAATCTTGCCATAAATGAGAGCAAAGATTGGTTATACAAAGACATCAATTAGCATGTTGTAGTGCTGGAAGTTCACATA